CATCTTTTAGTATTTAAGATAAACAACTAGTTAACATGCCATTCTAACAACCAGAGGTGGCTTGCAATTACAATACACTAACAACAAAACTTGCTAACCTTGAAAAGTGCGTCTTTCAGACTCCGGAGAGTTGTTCCAATTTGTAAATCTTTGGCAGAACTAAACCAGTCAAGAAGTACCACATACTCCACATTCCCCCTCTTCTTCCATGTGTCTTTAGAATCATCTGGGAGGTGTGCTTCAATCCAACTAGCAGTGACTCTGAAATGTATTAACATTTGTATTGGAGCCAAAGTCAACAAGAGGTCTTAATATACTAACAGAAGACACTCAGTTTTGTTTTACAGTCTGTACCACACCATAGCAAGCTTTAAGTAGATTCCTTTCTAAAGTGAGGTTATATATTAAGATATTAATCAGCCTAAAATGTTTAACCCCTTCACTACTGTATAATATTGGAACATAGTTTCAGTAATTATTAGAGACGAAAAGAAGACTCAATTCTTTTCATTCTGACCCTTTATTAAAAAAAGAGCGGGGGAGCAAAACTAAAAACAAATTGTCTGAGCTCCTCTTTCAGCCAAATATAAACTGGGGAATCACCTGGGTAAGATTATTCATATTTTAGTTCTCTTATACCTACATAATTAATAGTCCACCAAATACCAGGATGTTTATTCAACAAACACATATACCATTTACCATGTGCCAGATACTGTTCTAAATGCTTTATTCTCATTGAGTTTTCACAACAATCCTAACGTGGATATTATTATTATCCCTATTTCAGGAAACTGAGGCACAAAGAAGTTAAGCAACTCGTTCAAGTTAAGTGGAGCCAGAATTAAAATTCAGGCAATCTGGCTCATGTACATGCTCTTTGCTATGCTGCCTCTTAAATCATCAACTGTGAATAACACCAACTCTACATTAAAGTACAATGTTTACATCATCTTTTGCTCACATAAAAGCTAAAGTCCTTACAATGGCCTGCCATAGACATGCACCCCTAAGCCTCAACATCCTCATTTCTAACTACTGGCCCCCTTTACTCACTCCAGCCACTGGCTTCCTTGTTATTTCTGGTTCATCCAGGCATGCTCTTCCCTAAGGGCCTTTTGCTCTTGCTTTTCCCTATCTGGAATGCTCTTCCCCCAGACAGCTGAATCACTCAATTCCCTGATTTCTTCAAGATTTGCTAATAACTTCTCTGTGGGGGCTTTCTAGATTAAAAATTTAAGAGCCATCCAAACACACACAGAGCATTCCCATGGCACCCAACATAAGACATGCTACACATTTTAAGGTTTTATTGTGTGTCACCTAGCTTACCTCTCTTAAAAGCTCCAAAGACAAATTTTTGTTTGTTCAATGGCTTAGCCCAGCACTTAGAACATAGTAACCCAGCCCATAGAAAGTGTTCAGTAAATATTGGTTTAATCAGCTGAGTGTGGTGGCTCACGCCTATGATCCCAGGACTTTGGGAGGCCAAGGTGGGCAGATCACTTGAGGTCAGGAGTTTGAGACCAGCCTGGCCAACATGGCGAAACCTCATCTCTAATAAAAAATACAAACATTAGCCAGAAGTGACGGTGCATGACTGCAGTTCCAGCTACTCAGGAGGCTGAGGCAGGAGAATAGCCTGAACCCAGGAGGTAGAGGTTGCAGTGAGCTGAGATCACATCACTGCACTGCAGCCCGGGTGACAGAGCGAAACTCTGTCTCAAAAAAAAAAAAAAAAAAAGTTTAAATATTGAATGGGTGAATAATACACATTCACACCTTTGGGTAAGGAGCTTCATATTATTCTTAGCAAAGCATTTAGTATATAGGGGCATTTCAATATTTAACTGATGATACTGGCAAGCTGGGCAGGAGTAGTACAACTTTTATCCACAAGTAAAACCAAATAGTTAAGATTATTTTAATTTTAAAATCCAGTTCCTATATAATACTGTTGGATACTGTATCCTCTAGGAAGAAAAGAAGTAGAAAAAATATAAAATATTGTCTAATAATATTCTCTCCTGATATATACAGATTAGAAGGATACTTGGTCAACAAAGAAGGAAAAAAGGTGAAATGTGATATTCATAAAGACTATTTCCAACCCTAGGAATATATTTACCTAAATACTGTTTTCAGGATTAGTATTCTACAGAAAATACTTTGGGAAACAATAGTATCAGCCAATGTTTCTCAAACTTGTCTTTTATGTAACATCTTCACAATTTTCTCCAACTCTGCTCCACTTGTCCTATTATTATTTAAATTTAATATAAAAATAAAGTTTTACTTAAATTTAATAGGAAATTGTATGGCCCTAAATACATGAGAAAAACCAGCATCATATCCAATAAGTAAAAGGAATGTCTGAAGATAAATATTTAAGTAAACTGTGCTATATTCACACAACAGAACAACATATGTCAATGAGAATGAACAAACTAGAACTACACACAATAGAGATGACTGTCACAAACATAGGTTAACTAAAGAAGACAGATATTAAAAACTACATATCAGGGCCGGGCGCGGTGGCTCAAGCCTGTAATCCCAGCACTTTGGGAGGCCGAGGCGGGTGGCTCACGAGGTCAAGAGATCGAGACCATCCTGGTCAACATGGTGAAACCCCATCTCTACTAAAAATACAAAAAATTAGCTGGGCATGGTGGCGCGTG